TGAAATCAGAGTTGCAAATGAGTTGTTTTAAAATGTTTTAACCTTTTTTTAAATATTCTTTTAGGGAAAAATATCCCTCATCGAAAGGCTCCCTGCATACGTAATATGTACACTCTACATTGTGTACATGAACCGGTACAGATCAGGTACATACATTGTGCACAAGTACATAATTTTACAAGTCTTATCACATTATTTCCCCTTCATTACAACACATCAATGTCAACATTTAGACTGCTGAATGCTGAGCAATGATGACTACAACGCAACTTCTCTTTCCTCCTTGGAAGACCACAAACATATTATGCTGCCCTCTGTTGACAATAAATGGCTTAAATACAAGATAGAGGCAAGTGCATGCATAGAGAATACAGAACAACTCAGGCAAACAAAAGCAAACTTTTCCTTGTCACTCTTTCTGTGTTTGTTCCGGCACTTAATGAATAAAAAAAGGGAAGCAGAAAATGAAAATCCTCTTTTTTTTTTAAAGGTAGAGTAGATCATGTGCAGCTATCCAAAAAGAAGCTGACAAAATTATTGTCAAAACCTTACTTGTAGAATGGGATGGCAACAAACTCCCTGTCAAATTTTCTCTCTGGCGTGTTGTCGTTTTGAAGAAAACAATAAAAGAAGGCCATTTCCAAAGATGCGTCAAGTGTTGCATTTTTGGAAATTTCCGTCAGTAGTTGGTTTGCAATTCGGCGAATCCGTGTATGGGTGTGCAACACAGTTGCTTTTAATTTGTTGGCTTAGTACGTGACATCGCGTGGCTGCAATCAGCTCAATGAGAACGTGTCCGGGATGCTGATTTCTGGCGCAATTAAAAACACGACTCAGCAGCTTTTGAATCGAAATTGAGATCCTAAAATCTTGTTTTCTCGGACATAGGGCCTACACTGTACAGCATTCACAGACCTAAAACGCATTGGCAGTGGTTGAATACATTGCGGGCTTCGCGTGCGTGCGATCAGATCAGGGTTTCGCCGTGTGCGGACGACGTGGAGCCCGGTAGGCTGTGGTCAGCTCCTCGGCCTAGCTTGGGCCGGCCGGCCAGCTACTAGGCTAATGTCTGCAACATTTGAAGTTTAGTATTTCTAGCAAAATTACCCTGCAAGCACTTCAGGGGAAAAATATGCACAATATGTGCCAGCAGACAGAAAAGTGCAAATGTTTAAGGAAAATGAGGGAAAAAAAATACAGTTTTATGAAAATATTTTGTAAAATAATCCTCACACCTTGTGTTATGGCCTCTTTGTTGCAAAAATATACAGACTAGTGAGCCCAGGAGTACAAGATAACAGTGTTATCGATTGAATGTAATGCATACTTCCTGGTTTCAAATGACTAACCGCTGGTGGCAGAAACGCGGTCAAGCACACAGTGTAGACTAGAAATTTGACCTAATTCATGTATACATGTACACATACATTGCATGAGGGCAGGAAACGCCCCGCAAAGCTTCCAAACTTATTGTTATTGCATGTCCACGAACACACCATGGCGATACTCCCTGTAGAGCATCCTGATTGGTCTAGCTCTCAAGTGCATGCACATGAGTAATGCAAAATGCAAATTTGTGTTCATGAGAAGTTTATAATTCAGTTGACCTGTGTCAGAGGTCATACAGACAATAAAACACAGGCCATTGTCAGAACATTTCAAAGTGCAGCCATGTCCGGAATTGGAATCTAGGGATACGGCTATGTCTTTTGTAAGCATGTTCCCCATCGGTGGCAGAACTGGGGGGGGGGGGGGGGGGGGGGGGCGCATTGGTCCCCCCCCCCAACTTTTTTTCACCAGGGGAAATGGGCCCCCCCCCCCCCATCCCATTCTTGGCAGGTCCCAAAATAGTGTACATGTAGGCCTACTCTAGGCCCTATATTTGGGTAAACATAAAAAAAAAAATTGTTCTCTAGTCTACTACCTCTGGAAACAAGAGGATTGAAACAATAATCATGATCGCCTTCGATCATCTGGAATTGGGGGAGGGGGGTGGGACAGGTTGTAAAATTCACGGAAAAGAAAAAAGTGCTACCGGTACCTATCGACGAATGAGGGGCAGGGTGTAACATTTACAGAAATGCAGTCCAGCCCCCCCCCCCCTCCTTTCCAATTTACAGCAGCCGGCCAGCATTGATGGTGCTTGCCCCCCGCCCCCCTCCCCACACCTTCAAAACTTCCGCTTCCCTTGATGTGCCCACATATAGAATGTACACGTATACTGAACTATTGTGGATGACCCATTGATGAGATTTTTGATGTAGCCTAAACATACTGAGACAGTGTATACTATGTAGTATGTTTGGTCAGACCACGTGTTGTGACCTCATTCAGGTCAAGGTTCATAAGATTAGAGTTAAATACATGTAGGGCTGCCAGACTTTCGCGCATTGGTTACAGTACATGTACTTTTAGGACCCCTCCATTTTCTGAACTCACCTAAAGCACCGGTAACAGCTGGCGAAGGCCAGATTTAACTTTTTGCCTTTCTGATTCATGGTCCTGAAGGTACTGGTATATATATATTTTTTTATACAGGGAAGTAAAGTCAGAGAACCAGTGTTTAAGTGACGTTGATTACAAGTCCTTCAGTCTCAATTAAAGTCACAAGCTACCGGTATTCAAATGAAATGTAACAAAAGGCATTCCTTTGTTGTTGTTGAACATCAATATGTTACCGGTACATGTACCAGTACTTGTGAAGGTACTTATGATATTTACTTATGAAAGGACTTGTGATGGACTTGACTACCACACCGCCGAGAACCATTTGGTTGACTTACCAGTACATAAAAATATACAGCACAAAAATAGAAGGGTCCTCAAAGTAACTTATGCACACTTTTGAAAGACCAGATAATTTTGGTACCGGTACATGTACATGTATGTACAGTCTGCTGTTCAGTTTCGAATAATGAGTATTCGATAATGACCTCTGCCAAGGAGGTTATGTTTTCACCGGCGTTGGCTTGTATGTTTGTTGGTTGGTTGGTTGGTTGGTTGGCTAGTGTGTCTGTCTGTGAACAGGATAACTCAAAAAGTTCTGGACGGATTTTCATGAAATTTGTTTTTAAAAGGTGGTCCTTGGTACATGTACAAATTGATAAGATTTTGGAAGTGATCTGGATTTGCGTCTTGATGGAGGATTTTATTTAAAAGGATTTATCACCCATCATATGGAAAACTTTCACCAGATCGCTCTGTGTGACCAGCTTTGTGTGCGTGGCACTGACCCGGTGAAACGTGTATGCGTTATCACCCACTTAATCTAACCACACAGGTCAATGGACTAGACCATTTTATACAATGGGGGAGTGGAAAGGTAGACCAACACAGGCATATAAACATGTAGAGGGAGGGGTGGTCCTTGGTACAAGTACAAATCAATTAGACTTTGTTGGCGGAGGTGTGCACTCTCCGAGTGCTTTCTACATGTACAGGTAGTTCGAAAATGCATTTGACCGAATATTTGAAACTCACCACTCAAGTACTACACCACCAAGCTGCAACTGCCTGCCTTGCCCGGAGGTCTTAAGTTCTACGCACGCTAGTTAAGATCTGTGTGAGGCGAGCGATATTGTGGGCAGCTGGCTTGTTTATTGCAGCATTTTATAACAGTCAAGGGGTTTAACATGCTGAAAGGATCTATAGGGAGAATGAACTAAAAAAACCTTACTGCCGGCAAAAAAGTGGCACTAAAGCGCACAACGTTACGAATAAAGAAACAGATCAGTCAGGTGCGAGTGCGCATGTGTATATTCTTCGAATATTTGAATATTCGGTCGATGATCAAATATATTCGGGACCGCCCTTTTGGTATACATGTACATGTATTTGTCTATTTGTCATCACAAGTACATGTACATGTACCTAGACTTCAACACTGTCATACTGATCCCTGCATGAAGACAGTGTTTGGACCATAGAGCTATATTAAATGACTAGAGCGCTAACTCCTCATTTTTGCGCGCGGAGACGCTTCGAAGCCGCTCTGGGCCCAGACATTTTGAATTTATGTGCGTGTTTGTAGAACACTATCAAAATAGATGGATTGAATTTTAAAAGTGTACTCCAAATGCAACGTGCAAGTAGAAGATACGCAAACAATTTAAGCGCGTCATGACAGTTAAAAAAAAATGTCACGGCGAAAAGCACATGCACAGCGGAGGGACGCGCACACGTTGCGCTGTTTGCGTAGAGCAAAGTGAAACGCTCATTTGCTGATCATGCGTTTCGGTTTTGGGCGTATCGGCTTCGATGACGCACCGGTATGGAATACAAACGCAGATATGCAAATAGCCGTACAAAAGCTGTACAAAATTTTGAGTTTTCCATATGTTTGTGCACAAACATGGATGCGCCAATCAGGCATTACTTTGTACATCGAGTTAGCGCTCTAGTACTTTAAAGCTGTAGTCCATCATTTGCAGCTATTCAAAAAGTGACTGACGTAATTATTGTTGAAAAACGTACTAAAGCTAAAAGATAGTAAGGGGACTAAACTCCCTGTGAAGTTATTCTTTCTGGCATGCTGTCATTTTGAAGAAATCAACGAAAGAAGGCCTTTCCAACGGTGCTTCTTAAGACGCACCGTTGGAAATTTCCGTTAGTAGTTCGTTTTTTTTTATTCAGCGAAGCGCGCGCAAGCGTTGACACGACGCACACGCGCGCGTGGTTGCTATAATTCGTCGGATCAGTGCGGGACATCGCGTAACTGCAATCAGCTCAGTAAGAACGTGTCTTGGACGCTGAATTCAGGCCCAATTCAAAACATGATTCAGCACCTTTTGATTTGAAATCGAGATCCTAGAATGCTGTTTTTCTCGAAATATACAGCTGAAGCTGAGCTGAAACTTCATCAGGTTAGTTGTTCAGCACCCTTCTTCAGATTTTGAGTAGGTGTGTTGCTTCAAACGAACAAATTGCACAAATTACAAATGATGGACTATACCTTTAATACAGCTCTACGGTTTGGACCAAAAGTCGTTTGATATATTTACCTTGCGATGATAGTAAGTCGAGTGCCTGCATCATGGCCGACGCAAAGCTTTCGGCCTCTTCCACGCTCTGAAAGTTCAGCCCGTAGACCTGTCGGCTGTCCCGCCATTGGTGGAATGTGGCCGTGGCCTGGTTGTACTTCAGCCCCTTCACGATGGAGCAGTTGATGACAACCTGGGGTCAAAGGTCAAACACAAAAGTTCTTAATTTTTTTATGGGACGGTTGGTGTCACAGTGCATTTTTTCCCCCCATTTTTGGTTTCTCACTGGTTGGGTGTGCAAAGGTGCTTTTAGAACAACATTCTACTGTTTCATTGTGCTTGGCAAAGACCAAATTCCTTTCTACATTGTGACTAAGCCCAAATTAAACTTATCATGATACTGGACATCTGCCGAGGTGTAATGATTGGCCTACATGTATATGAGAAACCCCAACAATTTCATGTATTTTATAATTTGGCTCAGAATTAGTTTTTGAGATACGGGTCAACGAACATTTGACTAATTAGCATGACCTCTGAAGTTTAAGTACTTGGATCTCCAAAAGTACCGGGTATAGCACCTACCAAGATAAGTCTCACATCAGTTTGAAGACTGGCAAGAGTGTATACTTATTATTTTAATCCTCAAAACAATCTATCCCTGAGCAGAAAATATTTTGATTGAAAATCTTCCCAGAGTGCTCTCTTGTGACCTGGCCTATACATCTGGTTACCAGAAAGTCACCGTCACCATTGCAGTAGGCAAAGATCGCACAGTAGGTAGTAGGCAAGCCTTCAAAGCTGCAATGGATGGCAAAAACAGTGAGAAAAACGTGGAGATTGTGCCAAAAAAAAAAGTCTCCGGTTTCTGGTATGCGTGCGTGTCGCCATAGCCATGCGCGTCGGCAAAATGAAAAAGGTTTTTTTTCAATGAAACATGATGTCTCAAAACTGCCAAACTCACTGGTTTGACTGGAATCCTGCTACTGCACAATTTTAACGTGTTTTTGGATGGGGTTATGATCGAGAATAAGCTTTATGTGGCCTCTCTGGACTCCCATATATTTGCACTAAGTTTAGTCGGGCACCATTTGCAGTCATCAGCCGACATTTGAGGCAAAAAAAATCAGGTAAAAAAAAAAAAGCCGCATCGCTGCACCACTTTTTGGGCAAGCTCCATGTACCAGAAACCGGAGACTTTTTTTTTGTGGCCTTATGACAACCATCCTAGGCACTGGTAGTGACCATTGTGCCATTTAATAAAGAATTTGCAGACGCAAAAATGATAAGCCCTACTGTCTCCTTCTAAATGCATGAGTGGTTGCTAACCATACGCTTGCCTACTGCAATGGCGGCTGATCACAAGGAAACCTGATGGTTACATGACACTTTGACGTCATAAGATTGGAACCTATTACATCATTCAGTTTTTCTGAACGAAAATATGTATCACCCTCTTTCTGTGGCTATTTTTTGAATCCCAATATATTGTGTGAAACGACGTTACCATGGTTACAGCTTATTGAAAATTTTGCGTGGTTCAACAGTTTGAGTGGTAAATAAGGAGTTAAACTTTTGTCAGTGCAATCAGCTCTAAAGTACAAATGTTTAAAGAACAGCGCCCTCTTCTGTTGGAAACTGTCACAGACGACAAGACAGCGACCTTGTGCATACATGTACACATGCATATATTGTACACATGTACAGTACGTGCACATTATGTGGTATAATTGGTAAGATAGTCACGTCAAACGCAGCACCGACATTCTTCTCCAACTGATCAAGTAATCAACTACATTTGTATAAAAAAAAAAAAGAATCATCACTGGAATGAATGGCATGCTTAAAGAGACACTAGGTCCTGGAACAGCCCAATTGGGCTACAAAACGCGCTTTGAACGAGATGATGTTAATCGGAAATAACATTTAAAAGTAGGATATAAACATCCACACAACTATCCTTTCAAAACTGGGTGTTTTTGTGTTATTCCTGTATTATGCATGCGAGAACGAATTTCGGGGTCCACTTTTGCGACCCCATAAATTTGAGCTGTTTGGATGCTAGTTTTGATTTGATTCGTAAAGTGTTCGCCTTTTGCGGACGTTGGAGAAACACCTTTTTTTGCATTGGTGATTGGTCACCGCTGTTCCCCGAGACACACAACGTATGTATCGTGCACTGAGAACGACATGAAAAACGTATTCGTACTCCGTCATGATTTTCAGGAGTCCACATTTTATTGTGACACTGGAAAAGTGTTTAAGACCAGCTAGCCATGTCTTTATCATCTCGACCAATAGGAATAGCTAAACTGTCTGAGGTATTTATGAATAGTTTATGGTACAAAAATATGGGAAAGAGTGTTGCATCCTGACGCCACTTTTTTCATCGTACCATCATCTCAATGAAGATCAGTCATTGCAAAAATGATGAAAAGACATGGACATGGGACTGATTAACATTTCCATATTTTGTTAGAAAATTGCTCTTGGAAATTGAGTTGAAGGAAGAGGATACAATGTGCTCGGCATGCACACCGGCAGAGTGAGCAGATGCTTTGTAAGTTTTTACTTCGGTGTGATCCAGACGCTAGTCTCAACTTCTCACTCATCGCTGATGACTGGACAGGAGGATGATGCGCTCCAACGATTTCCCCTCCGCATCTCCGAGATGAAGCAAGAGGGAATTGGTCAGTAAGCCAAGGAGCAAACGGAGCAATTTAGAATGCACTGCTATGGATAAGACGCAACTGGCATCAGATGTTAGCAGATGCCAGGGATTGTCTCAGGAATGAAGAATTTGATGCACTGGACTTGACTCGTCTTAAAGGGGATGTACATCATTGGCTTTTGCTGTAATTTTCGGAAATGAACTACTGGTATTTGAGGGGTTAGTGTAATAGACCAAGTATTGTTGCACCGACTTGTTTGAGGTTTTGTGTTTGAAAATGCTGGAAAAACCAAGAAAAACATTAATGTTCAAGTAGTCTGGTTCCCTGACTCCAATAAAGATGAAATGGATCAATTTATAGATGCCGGAAAATTGTAAGGTAAGGGAACCAGTCTAGCTGGCCTGCACCTGTTCATGAACACGTATGTAACCAATAGCAAACAAAATTTTGACTGAAAAAAAATGGTAAATTTGGAGCAGTAGTTGAAAAATAGTTAGGTTTTGCGTTGGCAAAACCTAACTATTTTTCAACTACTGCTCCAAATTTACCATTTTTTTTCAGTCGACCACCGTTGGAAATTTATACAAAAATACCACTTTTCTTGAAAATGACTTCACACCAGGTGCCATTATTTTACAGGATGCTTTAGACTGTCATTTACCAACATCCCAGTAAGGTATTTCGTAAAAAAATTTGTAGTTTTGTTTTTGATGTTTACAAATGTTGTATATTCCCTTTAAGATAGCAGTTTCAGATGAAAGATGATGATCATTGGGGGGAAACAAGATGTCCCATTTTACAATTATTTTCACAATTTTAACTAGAAAACAAGTAAATCATTGTATTCCTAACCCCCTAAGGGTTCCTCAGGACTACCCTTCTAAATCCAACAGGGTCCAACAGTTACTTCCTGCTTAATTCAACAAAATCCAACTGACCCTACTTTTTAGCTGTCTGCTGGATCCAACAGAGTCCAACTCTGATTTGGTACATGTACATTTGTACAAGGGGGTTTACTGCTCAATTGACCTATCGCGGTAGAATCCCGTCAACGCAGCTAGTGAAATATTGTCCAATTGCATGATATACAAATGGTCGCAGAACGCGCAAAATCTGAGACAAACAAAACTTAGTGTACAAAAACTCCATAGGGTTATCCAAGGGGCGTGGCTAACTCGCAGACAGCGATAGGTCAATCCAACAAGCTCCAACAGGTTTATGATATAGTTGGATCCTGTTGGATTCAGCAGGGTTACGGTTAAAGAAAGAAAATCAACTTGTTTTTGTTTGAAGACCACAACACACAAAAAAAACCACCAAACAACACTTTCAAACAAACGGGTCATTCCAAGCAAAGTCAACTAACTTTTAAAATATTAAAAAAATTGGTCACATAACTGCGAACCGTCTCAGATTTTAACCCTAGATCAGGACCAGGTAATTTTGGCTCTTTGTGGATCATGTTCGTTCCATATTCCTTGGGCTGAGTTTCCAAACTTAAGTCAAGATAATTGTCGGCTAATAATCTATCAAATGTTGTCCTTGGGGTGGACTAAGAAGAGAATGATTTGCCAAATTTTTATTTTGCTGCATAAATTAATTAGTTAATATACATGTATATTGATTTTCTTTAAAAACACTCAAGGAAGAAATGTATGCTTTTCAATACATGTAAATTTGATTTTTTTCCGGATAACTTTCGACCTTTGAGTGATTTATTTTGGCCCCCAAAAATGTGCAACATCTATTTTGGGCATCTGCAACCCCATGAAAAAAAAGGCTTTTATTTATGGTTGCTTTTCCCAGATCCACCCCAGTTGCGAGCAAACTGGTTCCCGGTCCCCACATTATCGATTCTAAAAGGGGGTAGGAACCAGTCTGCCCCACGAGAAGTGAATTAATTGTCGGGCTGAAAATAATTCAAAATTTGTATGGTTATTGTTTCATTTACATGTAACTAAATGTGGCCTGATTTTCTCGGTCGATGTCTCATTCAAAAGTTAATGTAAATGTATTGCTAGAAAACTGGCACTTAAAAAAAATCATTTTGCAGTGTGAAACTCAAAAATATTGTGCACAGTAAATAATTACACAACCCAAACACTGTGAGACAAAAATAAGTAAATACATTGTATACAATGATGTATACATGTATACATCTGTAACAATTTTGAATAATAGGCCTACAGAAAGATGACCCTTGTAGAGATATGAGTGATGATACTCCCAACATGTTTTGCATGCTCATTATCCCCTTGGGCAACTGCACACACATGTATGCATAACCTCACGCAAGACAACTCCATTTTAGGACACCCTCTGAATCAAAGCATGAATTCTCTTTTTTGCATCTAGCCAACATTAATTAGCTGAGTGTTGTGCAACTGTATGGAGTGGAACCTCCATAACACATGTAGTAATAATTACCTGTGCACACAAGTGGTACAGTGCACACAGTCATTAATATTGCAATTCCAATGCATGAGTCACTTTCAATTAAAATGACCTCACAGAGGCTAGAAGGATGGTAAACGTTGCCTGCAGCAGAGTTTGGAAACAGATTTGTCCCAGTTTATGACCCCCCCCCCCCCCCAAAAGTTCAGTTACAAAATGTACCCGTACATGTATGTGTTGATAAAGATGTGCAAGACATACATTGTGTACATGTGGGCGTGTTCAGGCATTCAAACCGTGGACGAAAAATAACAATAATACCGTCCGGAGTATAGCACATTGTATCTACCAACAATAAGGTTACTCAAGGTGCTAATTATTAACATGACTTTATTTCAAAGACAGGTAAATGAAGTATTTGAAATATGAGATCCATTTTACATAGCACCTTATAAGGGTTTACAAGGTGCTGCGGCACATTAAGCAGCCACTGCCAGAAACACCGGGCCAGACCCCTTCTCTTAGCGACAAGTGTTACTGGTTTCTTTGACATGTGCATTACACAATACACAGGACCTACGGCTTTATGTTCCATCCAAAGGACAAAGCAATAATGGTCAAGTGTCTTGCTTAAGGACACAAGTGTCAAGACCGCGACTCGAACCCACACTCTGCTGATCACAAACACCACGAAGCTTGAGTCCAGTGCTCTTAACCGCTCGGCCATGACACTCCATTAATGGTGGTGCCAGTTATGACACAAATGGTTTTGATCAAACACATACATGTAATTCATCTAGAGTTCGTGACTGCAACATGTTCAAATGCTAACGAAGAATGCATGCCTGCATACTAAATGTGTATGGATGCAAGTTCACAATAAGTTCAAGTGAAGCTGCCAGATGTAAAATATTATCCAGTCTGTTGTTGGCTTGGAATGCTTAGACGGTCAAACATTCATCGAAGAGCAAAGGAGATGGCTTGCAATGATTGATCCCTTGTACAGTGAAAAGACGCTTTGCCATTGACACACCACAAGGCCATTTCATTAAGAATAATTTTGTTTACATTATCGTCAAAAACATCTTTGGTTTTCTAAAGGAACCCTGACGAATCCAACAGATGAATCTTACAGAATCCAACAACTACAATGAATGAAGTACAATGTACAAAATGTCCATTGTTCATGACCAAAACTGAAATTGCCCACTGTCTTGGTGTTGGAAATGATGGTATTTGGAATGGTTTGGAAGAAGTCCTACATGTACCGCGGGTACCTTTTCACACTAGAGCCTCTAAACCCGGGTGGAATTCAACCCGGGTGGAACTCAACCCTGGGCGAACCCAGTGCCGTCCCTGGTTGATTTTTTTTTCTCTATTTTTCAACCCCACGTTCAACCCTGGTCAACTGTAAGTCTTATTAACTTAGAAAATGGTTGGTTAACATTTGTTTCAGGTAAGGATTACTCGATTACCAGCAAGTTCAAGGCCTTCAACTTGATTATCGTAGGGGTGTCGGTAAGGGTTAATGTCTCACTGTCTATTAAAAGACTGTACAGTGTACACAGAATGTTTGGTTATGGTTCGAGTTACAACTTACTGATCGATCTGTCGAAAGCCTTCAATTTGTTTATGTTCCGGGTTAGGGTTTGGTAAATATGTTTTAAAAAGCAACTCACGGATTGATTTGTTGAAACTTGAAAGCCTTTCCACTACACACACAAATTGGTTGTGGTTAGAGTAACTTGCTGATCAATCCGTCAAAAGCCTTAACTTGTTCAGGATTACGGTAAGGGTTTGGGTAAGGATTAAGCCACTCATTGATTGCTCTGTCGAAACTTGAAAGACTTCCCACCACACACAAATTGGTTATGGTTAAAGTAACTTACTGATCAATCTGTCAAAAGCTTTAACTTGTTCAGGATTACGGTAAGGATTTGGGTATAGGGTTAAGCCACTCATTGATTGCTCTGTCGAAACTTGAGAGCCTACCTGCCACACATAAAGTTTGGTTATCGTTAGAGTAACTTACTGATCAATCTGTCGAAAGCCTTTAACTTGTTCAGCATTACGGTAAGGGTTTGGATGAGGGTATTAAAAGCAACTCACTGATTGGTCTGTCGAAAGCCTTCCCACAACATGGAATGTTTGGTTTTGGTTAGGGTCACTTAATGATCGATCTGTCAAAAGCCTTCAACTTGTTTAGGATCAGTGTTAGGGGTGCAGTAAATCGGTCCGAAATTGCCTACGCCGGCCAAATCACGATTTGCATGCCCTCAAAATCTTCGGTATTTGAGCATGCTGTGGGCCATGAACTTGAGGGTATGTAAAAAATATGGCTGGAAGCTGTGCACAGGACTTGGAGCTTGCAGTTATGTGTAATTTGGATGTAATTTGGACCCTAAAAGCGCTCTATTTTGCAATGGAGTGTAGGCATCGTTTATCAAAATGGCGATGGGCTTCAGGACTATTTTCAGGGGTGATCATCTTCAGATGGACATTTCTCCTAAAAGTCATCAGTTGACCCCCGAAAATTGAAAAGAAAATGAAAGATGATGAAATAAGCTTTAATTTGATGTGTGTCTCGAACACCTTGGAGAGTTGTGAGTATTTTTCCCGAATTTCTGAAGTGGGAGCATTTACCATTGGGGTCTATGGAAGTTTATTTACTGGTTGCTACCTTAGGGTTTGGGTAAGGGTAAAGCAACTCACTGATTGGTCCGTTGAAAGCCTTCCCACAACACGGAATGTTTGGTTGACCGAATGCTGGTAGATGTGCACCCTGGACATGCCTTGGTTCCCGGAGGAAACCCATTTCTTGTGGTTGTCATCATACAGCATCACCGAGGCATAGGCCTGGCAGATGGACTTCTCAACACTGCAGAAAGACACATGGAAAAGGGAAAAGAATAAACGAAAAATGAACGGAACAAAATATGTTAGCAAATTTATTGATTCTAATTTTCTTTTCATTCTTCCTTGTAATTGGGCTGTACCACACTCTCTTAACGATCTGCATTGGACCAGAGTTAAACTCTGAGATTTCAGGAACCCCTTTTTACACTTGCAAGAATTAAACATGGCTTCTATGAGCTCCGTGCGCTACCAAAAGAGGGCGCGTTTTTTAGCTCCGTGGACGGGGGACACAGCGTGCGCGTACTGTACTGTACTGGTTCGTGCGCAAAGTACGCACTTACTTCCTGAGTGTGCAAAAGCTATAGCAACCGCGTCTTCGCGTGAGCGTCAGGCGTCAGGCATCGTCGGCGCGCGAATACATTCAAATTCAACCATAAATGGTCTCCGAGTAATCTCCGCCTCCAATAATTTTGGAGACATTCGAAATACCCAGTGGGTGGATCGGGAACCAGTCTAGATCACCCCAACTCTCCTTTTCTGGCCGTTGATGGGGTACTTGTGCATGGAGCGGAAAGGGGAAAGGAGCTGGTGGGTACACGCAGGCCTCGCCGCGAAATATTTTTTCCCAAAAGAGATCGGACAATATCAAAAGAGGGTGCTCTCTCTCTATGTTATGCATATATGTCCAGGGCTTTAGAGAATAAGTGATATAACAAGGAATAATGGTGTTTAAATCACCGACGATTGGCAACTGATTCATGGACTGGTTGGAAGTAGTCCTGACTTCTAATCAAGTGATCCATGTTCAAATATCAGCGAGTGTTTTTCACTTCTTCTCATTTTACCTTTTAAATAACTGAAGTGAGGAAGGAACATTTCTCACAAGACGTAACTTTAGCCTATCTTGGGTTTGTGTTGTGGAGAACAAGGCATTAGAAACATGCATGTAATGTACCAATCAGAAGATGGGAAACGGATGTCGTTTTGGGGAAAAAAAAGACCCGGGTAAAAGATATCCAAAATCTGAGGCCAATCCAAACTCGAGAACATCTGAGAGTGACTTGTGAACTTGTGCTTGATCAGACCTGTTTCTGGTCAAGGTGGACCTGTGATTGATTTTAAATTTGAATACGATGTAGTGGCGATAATAGTGTGAAAATGGGTTCTTGAAAATGTGTGTAGCTCAGATGCCTCAAAAACATTGATACAGAAGACACATTAAAGGTACTTCCGTTAAGGGCCTGTCACATTATATGCACTCTCATAGGAGACCTTACGGCGACCAAAAATAATTTCATAAATTTAACAATCGCAGCGAGGACGCAAGAAAATGACAATTTTCTGTCGCAAGTGGCCAGAAAGTAGCTCCAGCTACCAGTACGCTCATACGGTGCTCTTCCCGCGCTTACGATGCGCTCAACTCGCTCTGTATGCACCCCTGGCTCATGTGATGTCACTTAGGCCAAAAAAAAAGTCTCCGGTTTCTGGTATGCACGCGCGTAAGCAAAATGAAAAAGGTTTTTTTTCAATGAAAGATGATGTCTCAAAACCGCCAAACTCACTGGTTTGACTGGAATCCTGCTGCTGCACAATTTTAACGTGTTTTTAGATGGGGTTATGATCGAGAATAAGCTTTATGTGGCCTCTCTGGACTCCCATATATTTGCACTAAGTTTAGTCGGGCACCATTTGCAGTCATCAGCCGACATTTGAAGCAAAAGAGTCAGGTAAAAAAAAAAAAAAAAAGCCGCGTCGCCGCACCACTTTTTGGACAAGCTCCATACCAGAAACCAGAGACTTTTTTTGTTGGCCTTACGCTGCATAAATACCACGACAAAATGGTCAATACACAGTCCAGTTTCAAAACTATTCTACAAGTTCATCGCAGTCGAGTTACTTTCTCATGGAGACTACATCGACTGCTTTGCACCTAGGTTGCAAGGCAGTTGATGTTGTCGACAATTTTTTTTAAATGGAAGACCTGCAGCAACACTCATTCCATTGTACATTTTTTTACCATCGAAATTGCAATGTTAGCAATGCCTAAACATGAAGGCCTACTTTTGTAAAATTAATTAGGAATGGACAAAAAAGACTACTGATGTGTATAAAAACAAACACACAGATCCCATTTTGGGGGTAATGCACTGCACTGTTTACGTAAACTTTGACATTTTGCGGTTAACGTAAACACAAATTGTAACCAAAATACATGTACAGTGTAGAGTGGTTTTAAGGGTACACATAGATGCCAGAAGTAAACCTACAATGACAAAGTTCAATCCGCATTTCAATCAACAAAACTTGTAGGATGATTCTTCTTTTTTTTCTTCTGAGTTCGATCCAGTTAATCTGCACCACATCCTGAACATGCATGGTGGCCAGCTTCCTGGGGTTGGGCGGCTTCCTCGCTCAATAACACGTGAGCTTCTGCAACAAAACCTTCAACTGAGGGTGGGGAACACCTACTGTGTGGAAGCCATAAACAATTGTGGCACGGTGCCATTTCCAGCTCTGGAGAAGATCATTACTGTGATCAGGTGATGGGTGAATTAATGGACAGTTACAATGTATACAATTTGTATTCGAAGGCTGAAAAAAATTGTGTTTACTGTACATAACGTCCTAACAATTATCCAAGTAGGAAGGTACTGGTACAAATGTAGAAAACATAACTTTGTTTTGAGAAACTTTTGTATGTTTGTCTGTCAGTCCTTTTATGTATTTTTGTTTACTTTTAAAGGAGAATTTTAACAGTATTGATAATCAGGTGATGGGAGAATGGACAGTTATAAAATTTGTATTTAAAGGCTGAAAAAATTGTGTTTACTGTACATAACGTCTTAACAACTATCCAAGTAGGAAATACCGATACAAATGTAGAAAACAAAACTTTGTTTTGGAAACTTTTTGTATGTTTGTCTGTCGGTCCTTTTATGTATTTTTGTTTACTTTTAGAGGAGAATTTTAACAGTATTCTGTTTAATTAACCCTTTTAATTGTTTAACTGATCAATGAAACACAAAAAGTCACAAAGGGACGACTTTTTGTTTTCAAAATACACTCAGTCAATCCTGCTTTATGTAGGCTAGGAGCTCTTAACTGTTGAAAACAGTCACTTGATTGATTTTGACTGTAAGGACAACTTGGCAAAGAATCTATGTTTGCATCTAGGAGGGTTAATTGCTTCAATAAAAGTGATATAAAAACTACTGTTGGTACAATGTACGTGTACCACAAAATGGCACTGTTTTCCTCATTCCCTTTTGCTCAAATATGGCCTAGCCTTATTCCGGTCTGATTTTCTAAGGTCAATGTCATGACAAAGGTCAAAGTCATTGTCTGGAACTAATGTCCAACCCCCCTTCAAAAAAAATAATGGAATCCTAAATAAGTCTGCTTCAAATGCACTAATGAGCGTTAGAATAACAAACATATTTGTGCAGCCCCATAGGCTAGGCTGTGGTGTCACTGTCTCACTGCCAATGCATGCGTGGAATGTGGAACGGTTTCTGAGTCAAACTTCCAATGGGCATTGAGTTTATACTGCACATTACAGTCTGAAATTCTCAATTTCTGTAGTCAGTTGAACCTAGATTGTAGGGTTGTCCATTTTCGAATAGTTTAGTATTCAATTACTCGAAACTGTGTTTGACCGAATATTCGGATATTCGAAACTGCCAGCTGCAATTACTGCGTGCTGCGCCAGTAAAAATTTGCAAGAAGGGCGCGCTAGTTAAAACTTGCATGTGGCAATCGATATAGGGCGCATGAGTGTTTTACTTTTTTTTAAGTACTTTTACAATGCGTATATTTTATAACTGTAAAGGGCTTTACCTTAAAAGGATGTGAACATTGAACCAAGTTGGCAAAAACAAATTACCGTCAACAAAAAAGTTGCACCTGACAATAAAATGCCGCAACTTTGCGATAAAACAACATCACATTCGCATTTGTGTGTGCATACTTTTTATACATGTACATGTACAGGCACAAAGCTATTTGAATATTTGGTTGATGATTGAATATTCAAGTGTTTGGTATATATTCGGGACAGCCCTACTAGATTGTCTGCATCACAAATGCATGGGCTTCAAGGCCTATAAAACTGTAGGCCTACTGTTTGCTTCTTGAACATAAATTTGTATTTGTTAAAGATACAAATGTACAAGTATCTACAAGTAATCATTCTTTTGTCACTTTATACATTGTACAATGTAGTTCAAAGCTATGTTAAACATGTACAATGTACGATGAAGTGGGCATTTGTAAAAGCAGAGGTTGTGTTTCTATATTTTAATCATTAAAAACTGTGTAAAATGGTATCTGTTTTAACACGACACATGGTTTTACCCCTTGTGAAGGACTTGACTGTCTTTTCTAATGATGAATCACATACATTCTTGTGACATAAGTCACACTGCAATGGATTAAAAATTGGTAATACATGTACATGTACAGTATGTATGTTATACAAAATTTTGTCAAGTATTTTTTCAATATTTTTTTCAAAGTATTTTTTAATATCATGATCACCTTTTTCTGCACACAATACCGTGAGTGGTAACAATATGGAAAAGCAAAGACTTGCAAAAAGCAAAGACTGGTTATTTTAAGGAATGGGCTCCGTGCGGCAACAAAAGAAGGCATGTTTTTACCACTTTTGAGAGCTCTGTGGATGGGACACACAGCATGTGCCTGCTGTACTGTATTGGTATGTCAAATTAGCCACAGCGTCTTCGCGTGAGCGTCAGACGTCGTCGGCACACGAATACCCAGTACGTTCAAATTTAACTTGCGATGTTCTCCCAGACTAATCCCCGCCCCCAATAACTTTGGATCATTCAAAATACGCAGTGGATGGATCGGGAACCAGTCTAGGTCCCCCAACTCTCCTTTTCTGGCCGTTGAAGGAGTACCAGTACTTGTGCACGGAGCCCATAGTGAGTGAATTCAGTTTTTTTTGTAGCCACCATGTGTATTATATAATATTAACATTGTGTATGGTACCAGCACAAGCTT